CCCTACAGGTGCAGGTGAAGGAGGCCATTGAGGCCAAAGACCATAGTGATATTATGTGATCTAAGAGACTATGAAGCTGAATGAACATCTAACCCAAAGTCAGAGCCGGAAGCTGGGAAAAAGCAAACTGTTTTCAAGTCGGCAGGAACATCTGAGGTTTACTAAGACACTGTCTCACTAGAGAAAAAAAGCAGGAAGAAAATGTCTTGTAACAGTACAAAAATGCTACCTTCAGACTCTACAGAAAAGGTGTGCCTTTGCTCCCACTGTTACTAAAAGGCAGGAATAGAGAAAAGGACACGCATAAAATTTCTTTAAAATGGTCATTTCATGACATTCATTTAAACTGTTGTGCAACACTCATCTTCTCTACTTTCCTTTTCTAAGTGAGAAATAGTCTTCAACACCTACTTAAATTTCATCTTTAATGTCATGCTTTCTGTGAGATACCATCCAGCCAACTAATACTTTCTAATGTTCAGCTTTTTTTATTCAGTGTTATCACTACTTCATAATTAGTCATATGTATACGCCATAAAGCCAGTAATGCAACCATAGTAATTTCTCTTTTAAGAAAGCAGGACTTTTCACTCCTCACTTTTCCATCAGATGTTAGAAACTCACACATGTATATATTCAATTGAAAAATGCAAAGAGATAAGTGATGAGGGTTTTAGAGCATAAAAATGACCATCTGGGGTTCATTTGCTGCATTACCATGTATATGCTCTCAGAGCAGCAAGAAGCAATCAAATTGAGATAAAATTTAGATTTAAAATTATCTTATTATCTAACTCATTCTACCGGTCAGTTACACAACCAGTCTTTGGTTTCCACAACCAGTGTAAAACAAACTGCTAGCACAATCAAATGTGCCTAATTTTTAATTTTAATATACGAATACATATTTTTAATTTCAAACATGTACTTCATGTCTTACCTGGCATGACAGCAGCTTCCTGAGTGGCTGACTCTGTACTTAAGGAAAGGCGACCACCTTTAGCCAGTCTGTCACAGAAGAGGGTGATGTTCTTCTTCAGTCTGTTAGTATCTTTGGGCACGCACAACTGGCTGCTGAGAGTCAAGGCCTGTTCCTTAGAGCTCTTCGACAAACAAGTTCTTAATAAGTAAGAAACAGCAGCATCCACAGTTTCTTCCCAACCCTGAATTAAAGAAGAGGAAATAAAATAAAACTAGGTGAACTGTAACATGAAATAGCACACTAAAAACAAAGTAACAAATCAAGGACTAAGAATTTTCAAATTATACTAATACATAAAATGTAATTTGGGGATTAATGACTGTCATGAACACCCAGTTCTTTAGCTTGTACAAGCAAAAACTTCCCCAGCAAGCCTGAAGAAAAAAACCCAAACTTGCCCCAATTTTGACAGAGAAATATCATTTCAATAATAATACTATAATAATAATAATAATAATATGGTCAGAATGTGATGTAACAATTAAATTCAGTAGTTGCATTAACTGAAAACTAGAAGTTCCTGAATGTGACATTTAGAATTAAGAAAAAAACAAGATGTAAATACAAACGTAATATGCACTATATCTCATTATGCTGAAGATATGTCTAAGCCAGGGTAAAAAAAAAAAAAAAAAAGGTATCCACATTCTTTGGAATCACTGTCCAAGACTCTGAAAATGTGCCAATAGCACAGAACACCATGACTGCAACCCAAAGCTGCAGATAGTCAGTATCCACATATAAGATCAATTAACTTCAAGATATAATACCCAGAGCATTAGCACAGGTGTGTCAGTGCTCTGATGAACTGGGACTTTGATTCCTAACAATGTAGAGCGAAACTGTAAACACTTATGAGAAGAGCAGCTTAGTAATCAGCTCAGTTAAAACAAGCACCTATCTATGGAAAAGCTTTCAGGAGGAAAACCGATATTCAGTGTCATATTCAGCATACATACTTCCACAAAATAAAGTGTACACTCCTGCAAATAACACTTAGTAAAAACAAGTTTCTTCTCACAAGGCACCTTGAAAAGCACCTTTAACAGTTAGGTTCAAGTTAGTAATCTGTACTATGGTTTTCAGCGACATGAACAAATCAAAGACATTTCTTCAAGTAAGGATCCTGGAGAGCAGAAGTCTTATTCTTTGTGACAAAGTTACTAGATTAATGTGTAAAATCTAACAAATGACACCTATCTCATTTATGCAGTGTGCAATGCAGAGTTGACTCTTCTTGATGCATTCTGTAATCTTAAATTACACTCTATGACGAGACCACATAATTAATCCAAAGCATCTATGATTAATGAACCTGCAAGTTAGTCACAAAGCCTGCTCATGTCTTTTCATGACAATCATGCAGAGACTGGACAGACTTAGCAACTAATATGAAGGGCATTGTGGTCTGCTTACTTCAGGACTCATAACAGCTCTTAGTATTCAGCTACCTCTAAGCAAGTTTTATATACGTGCCACTTATGTGTACAGGGAAGTGATATTCAATCGCTGCAGTATGAGTCTCTGCTCTCTCGACACTCCTGATTGGTTGGGGCTTATTTTGGCAACAGTTTTTATTGACTTTAGAAGTTTTGAGGGTACAGTTTGGAACCACCCAGCTCTACCTGCTGCTAACAGTAGGTAACATCAAGGTAGCTTTTTACAAGGCAATTACTCAGGCAGAACATAAAGAAAACTCAAGTATCCAGTTGTAGTTAGTACAACCCCATAGTCTTCTAGTTTTTAAGTTCATTCTCATGATGGATTCTACTTGACTGAAAACGCCCAGCTGAACAGCAAAATCAGGTATCTATCCAAATTTCCACGACTGGGTAAATGTTTTTAAAGAATGACCTGTTGGAGTCCACTGTCAAGCACAAAGGTTTGTGAATTTCTTTTATTAGACACACATGGCTTTTGTGAAGGCTAGGTACTACTTTCCACACAGAGAAGCAAAGGACACCCTTCTGACCTTGTTACTTCCCTAAGAACAGGTCCAGGACAGATGCTTACTAGTGGTCAAATACATCAGTGAGACCACACGGTCATACGTACTTCATCCTGGTCCACACATCTGCTGCTCTTTATAGTGTGTCCTGAAAACATGCTGTATCTGTACAAAACATTTAGATTTTTCAGAGGAATAGGATCTTTGCCTTTTCCAACTTCGTAACAATGACAACATTAACCTACTGCCTTATCTGGATTTCCACCCCAAAGAACATGTAAATTAGAAAAATCATGCCAGTCAATCAATGCCGTGGTAGCTTAACATTTTTCAAATATTCTAGAAAGATTCCACTGGAGTGTAATCCATCCACTGACCTGTGATGGTGACAGGAAATAATCCATTCTGCAGCCAGTTTAGAGGTTAATGAGCTGGTAAATGCTGTCTACATTCCCACATACTGGGCAATGAAACTTAATATGTACAAAGCATCAAAACCAGTCAAGCTAGGCACTCCTAATTATACTACAAATCATGAAAAATAAGACAACGTAAACAGAAGAATCTGAGTTTCACTAAAAGATAAAGAAACACATGATTAACCAATGTCAGCATACAGTAGCTGAGAAGCTGGCTGACATATCTCTCAAAATAAGTTACAAAAATGCAGGCAAAAGGAGCATTTAAATAAGGAAACTGAAATACAAGCTAACACAAGTCAGGAAATTAAGAGTGGCTAGTATTCAGTGCTTGGCTCACACAGGTATGTTTTACTTTGTACCATAGCCTTAACATTTTCCAACCCTTGTGCTCATATTCAATTTCCACGTAAAACTGGTTTCTCAGTAGACCATAAAACTATCTTCTCCAATTCAAGTACTGTTGACCTAGCAAGCCCAGTCAAATCCAAAGCAGCCCTTATGATTAGTGAAAGAGTACACAAAGGCTACCTCTACATTAAAAAAAAGCCTTGATGGAAATCTGTTGAAGTGATTTCATACGACTAAGAATTAATGGCTGCAAATAAGACTGCATTTGTCAGCAATTTTTATTGGTGCAAAGGGAGAATTGAAGTAACAAGAAAAATTCTTCACCCCTTCTGCGTTAAAAAAAGCTAAAAGATGTTTGAAAATGAAAGTGTTCTGGTCTATAGCCTACACTGCAGCCATAGTTGAAATATTCACTAATTGCTTTCTGTGTAGTATTCTGCATATTCGAGGTCTGAAAGGAACCCTTTCAAGAGAAGTTACCCAGTAATCCGTCATCCCATGACCAGCAAGAGTTGCCATAACTGCCACAACAAATGCAAGTCAAGGCTCACAGGAAGAGGTATTATTAAATCATGCAAATTCTTCATATTTACTCTATCACCTGGAATAGATAGGAAAAATACTTAGTTCCTATCAGTTTAACTTTTTCATTGGAAAAGGTTTGGCTTCATATTTCGCATGTATATATTATTACTTTTCTCTTGCAGGTAGTAGGTAGAGATTGGCACCTTCATTTAACCAAATCCTATACACTGCAGGAGTCTGAAGAGCAAATGTGGATTTGTGATCCTAGCAGAGCTAAGATTGTACTAGTACACATCACTTACATTCCATATATAGACAAGGTCAACTAGACATACATAGGGGCAGGATCTGAAAGAAGGATTTCAATATTGTTGTTAAGATGCGTAGGACGTGTAGATGGGGAGAAGCGTGACACAGGGCCTAACTGCTGTCAGATTTAATAGGTTTACTCATATAGTTTAGATTCATAAGATTTATACTGTATAGCTGTCCATAAGCACCTTCTTAAGTTTTCAGATTCCACTTCACCAATAACATCATTCATAAATCAGTGGAAGTTAATGAAGCAAAAGATGAAGTACTGGTTAAGCTAAGTTGCTCCTACTGAGCTCCAGACAAAATCCTATCTAACTGCACAGCACAGAAGTTTACAGCAGTTGTTTTCCATTGCAAACACATACAAAAATAAAAGTACACAACCAGTTTCTAAAGACGCTAAAGCAATTTTACTTGGAAAACACTGAGAATCCAATGGCTTCTGCTGCAAACACCACATTGGAATTTCTGGCTGATACAGTGGTTTTGCTTCATGTTTCCCCCTGGAACAGGGGTGAAATGCTTTTAACACAGACAAGATCTAACAAATAATAGAGAGACTCAAGTAGATAATAATACAGCACATTCTGTCACATCACTTTGAGCAGAAAAAAAAATTAGGATATTTTTCCTACAATTTTTACCACGTGCCCTTTCTATTAAAAATAAAAGCATTTGTTGCTTTGTAACTGAAACTCTTCAGCAACTTTTACCAAATCAAGCTATGCTTAAGCAGATAATGAATAAATTGAAAGTCTACCTTTCACAATATTACTTAATATTAGCCTTTATTAAAATTTGTTCTGAGACACTTAATGTCTTGACACACAAACCACTGATTTAGCTGGTAGTGAACACACATCTAGACAGCCAAGCCAATCCTCATCTAACTGATGAACTCTATAGACAAATTGATTTGACTGATCACTGAGAAACAGTGGGCAGTCAAATCTATGATTTGCAACGATAGCCTACAGGACTATCTTAAGCATATAAAAGGTAGATAAAACATTTTCAAGACTTCTGAAATTATGACATCAATAATATTCATCAAGTTTTACCTGGAACAGATTATAGCAACTAGTGATACAGCTATGTAGCTTTATAGAAACAGCCTGATAAGTACTCTTCCCTAAATCCCTATTTTGAAATGTTAAAAGTTATCATTACATCAAGTATGTATATTTACAGAAGACTTTTTGCTAGAGCAATGTCTGCAAGCTAGATTTTTTCCTGTAAGAAAAGCCTGTCATAGTTGTAAATAATTTATACATTTACCTTCAGATAGTCCTCAGGCTTTAAAAACAATACACACAAGCAAAGAAAAGATACAACTGGGAGACAGAAAGGAGCCTTTGGATGTGTTGAGAATGAATGCTCAGATTTTCTGACACAGCATTTCCTTTCCTTTAGCACTCTGCAATTGTCATAAATACACATAATGCACCACAGCTCAAATGCTACAAAGGCTCTGAACACAAAATGCTCAAGACACATGTAGACCAAAGCATGGGAACTGAACAGGTAGGGGTTTTTGTGAAGTTTTTTTGTGAACTTTAAAACTTCAACTAGTTCATTATGTTGCATCATAACACAAGTAAAAATACCATTTTTAACCACAAT